TATTATTACACCAGACGGGAAATGGATCTGCTTCGACAACACAACACGAAAAAGACAGTGGTTAGACGCCGGTGACACTTCAAAACCAATTCCGAAACCGGATATACACGGCAGAAGGGCAATGCTCTGTGTTTGGTGGAACAGCAAAGGTTGATGTAGTTTGAAGTCCTGAATTCGGGTCAAACGGTTACGGCGGACATTTACGAAGACCAATTGAACAGCGCAGATCAAGCACTGCGCCGTCAAGGTGTCGAAACGACGTCGACAAATTCTTCCTCGACAACGCTCGTCCACATGTTGCGAAAACCATCTTGGAAAAAAAATTGAGGAATAGGGGTTGGGAATTCCTGCCTCATTCGCCTCACAGCCCAGACCTGACTCCATCCGATGACCATCTCTTCCGTCAATGCAGCACTTGTTGGCCGAGAGAAAATTCAAAAACCGCGAAAAAGTCCAACTCAGGGTGTCCAACTACTTTGAGTCGCAGCCGGCCGAGTTCTGCAGGATGAGAATCCATTCTTTGCGGAAACGTAGGCAACAAGTCATTGATAGTAATGGAGAATATCTTTTGAATTGATCTTGTTTAGTTTCGTTTATATGATAAAAAATTTTTTGTACTCAAACGCGCATTCCTTTCCGAACAACCTAATATATTCACTCATTCAACGCTACACCTCTTAACCCACTGGCGGCCGCGCCTTTTATATCGTCCTTACATTAACTTTCAATTTTTAATAGTTAGTTATGAATAATTTCTGGACCGCAATGCCTGAAGATTTTCTAGAGGGCTGTGAGCTCAGCTAATACGAGGGCTGTGAGCTCAGCTAATACGAGGGCTGTAAGCTCAGCTAATACTTGAAAACATTTAAAAAAATTACAAGAACACTTGATAAATAATATAAGTACTACAGGAGCTCGATATGGCGTGGCCCGCCGGCGGGCCACGCCATATCGAGCTCCTCTAGTACTTATATCAGGATGCCAGTGTCAATGGGTTGAAAGGATGAGAGTAGAATGCGCGGCCCATCTCGAAGCGAAATCTTTTCAAGGCAAAAAGCTAATGGTTTACTTCCTAGTTCATGGATCTCCAGCAACGTTCGGCATTCATTTATGGGAAATGGATAGCTCCAAAGGAACACTAAAAGAGTTAGCATCCGACTCCATCGATGATTGTCCACTCAGGTGCGTACTCGTTATTTTCAGTTTTTGTTTGACATTGGAGCAGAGTTCGTTGAATTATGTAGCTCAAGCCGGGACTCGAATTTTAAAAAATAGAAATTATTGTCCGAGCGGCTTAGTAATTTCAAAGAGCCGAGCAGGAAGTACGCATGACTTGGCTGATATAGCCATTTTTGGTTCTCGACTACGAGAACTGCGAGCAATTCTTGGGAATGAGTGTTAATGGTTTCTTTCCTTTGCAGCTATGAATGGGACCAACAAAGTGAACTTGCCTCCTCACTTTTTCAGTCATCCGTACAAATCTATGAAATAGGAGAAGGTTTGAAGGTATGTCGAGCTTATGTATACTTTCCGGCTTCATTTAACTTGCAGCATTTTGCTCCAATATGACCTGAACGCTCTGAACCTCTACCAGTCAGTGGTCGTGAATAATTTGGGAGATCNTAGTGTGTGATCAGATGAGAGTTGATATGGGATAGTAGCAGATAGCTTCACAACTTTCATAATATTCCAGGTTTCAGTGTTTTAATCGTTCATTTTGTAAGTAAATAGCGATTGAGTGGATATTTCCCAAATATCCTCTCAATCGTTTTACATAAGTTTTTAAAGTTTTAAACTTTGAACTTTAAAAACTTATGTTGGAACTTAGGTAAAGACCATTTATGATAATTTAGGTCAAGGAAAAAAGGCCACTTAGTGGTACAGCACATGCACAAACGTGGAATCCTCATGGTGATGGTAATTCGCTCGGCTTGGCCATCGATAAGGACATAGCCTGTCACGATCTGCGAGCAGCAGGGTAAGCAGCTGGCAATATCAAATTTCTGGTCGTGCCAAATCAGCATGAAATCCGAAATCTTTTCCCAGCCTCTCGAAAGAAAAGAAGGCAGGCCCGACGCTCAGCAAAATACTTTCTTGAATCGTAAAGGATTCGTAAAGGTGCTTGAACGAGGGAGGGGTGCCAAAACCCGATGCGAGAGCTTCGCAAGGATAACGAGTTGTAGGCAAAACTTTGCACTCGGACGAGACTCGAACCCTGTGTTTTCTTGGTAAAGTGCTGTTTCCCTCACACGAAACCCCGCTTGCCCCGTCCTTTTATTGAGCCTAGCAGATTAAGTTAACATAGTGCCTTTTGGGAATCGGCATATATGCCAGCCGGGTTTTCATTTTTATTTCCTGTGCACCTAGTAAAGACCTTGTTGAACTCATAGGCATTGCCCAGTCATTTTTGCTAAGAGCTTGGCACGTAAGCAAGGACCGCTCGATTTTTCGTCGATGTTGGAACTTCAACACGATAATTAATGCAAAATGTTTTAGAGAGTCGTTACGAATCAAAGATGCTCATGCTCATCGGGCGTTGCACTTGGACTTCAACCCGAATCTGCAACATGTGTTGGTATATTTCGCGTATTTTTTGAGTACCGTTTATCATTTCATTGATCGTTCAGTGTTGCCTCTTGTGGTGACGACGGAGCTGTCCGATTATGGGATTGGCGAAATCCAAATTCCACTCTTGTGACCGTAACTCCACATGCACATTGGGCTTGGCAGGTAATCTTATAACTAGGAAATGTGGGAAGAACTATGAATGCATGGAGTAGGTCCTATCACATGGCATAGAATTGGTGTTCTCCTATGCGCTGATGTATTTTCAGGTGCGGTTCCATCCCGTCCACGATCAGCTAATTCTCTCAGCTGGAAGTGATGCCACAGTTGTTTTATCGTGCGTTGTTTCCGCAAGTAGTGAAGTAGGCGACTTGGGCCTAGATGACACAACAGAAGGCGAGGAAACAGATAAACTGGAGGATGGTCAATTGGAACGGATAGAAGAGCATGAGGAATCCGTGTATGTTGTAAAGTTTTTTCTTTCCTTCTCTACATACTATGAGACTCGATATGTAGTTCGACGGTGGTGGTGAGATCAAGAGACTCCCATGTGACCCAATTAATATTGAGACTGTTCCTCTACTACCCAAGGGTCATTAATGCCATATGAAGACTTCAGGCAGTTCCCAGAGAATCTCAAGTACTGCCACTGATCACAACAGCCGTTGGATACTTGCCAATTCCACTATGCTACGAAATCATCATTTCCCAAAGGGTTCAAGAGTATTCTTTCAAAACTAGGATACTCTTGTACGAGGTAGAATAGAAGTGATAAGTGGAACCATGCGCATAGTATAATTCCATCCGAAACTTGAGCTTAAACAGACGGTTCCATTGAGTAAAATCTCCATAAATGAGTTTTCATCGGTTGCATGCTGGTGTACCGTTAATGAATATCCGTAGAAAAATATCTGTCAACAAGTACTAGTAGATCAGGTCAAAACTGTACTTTAGTTCTAATGGAACACGTAATCGCTTGGAACTCAGTATTCTCTTCGTGTATGATTTCCAAACAAGCGATTTTTAAACCGTAACTTTTGAATTGCATGATCTAGGTATGCATGTTTATGGGCAGCAGCCGATCCGTGGACGTTCGCCTCACTATCATATGATGGACGGGTGGTAATCTCAAGAGTCAGCCGAAAGCACAAATATGCATTGATGAAACTATGAATCCATAAAAATTTGTGGAGGCTGAAAATCTGGCAGGCATCGGAATCATCTCTCACCTTCGATCAAAAGACAACGGGAAGCAAAATAGCTGAACACGTAATTGTTGGTCCATAATATCATTCCTTCTTCACGCAAAGGTCAATCATTCGCCTCGTTATGCGGATTAATTTACTTACATAAATATAAATAAAGAATACATTAATGTTGTTGAGTATGTAGAAATTTAATAAAAGATGAGTAAGCAGCTTCAAGCTCGAAAATCATTTGACGAGCTTCTTCATCAGTGATTTCTTCAGAAGCTGACATAGTAGAAAGGCGATCATGCCTAAAACCCGCTTCGCTATTAATTGATGAAGAAATTCTACTGTCTTGAACTCACCAAGCTTTCACTTTTGCACGTCCATCAAAATCTTCTGGTAAGGTACTCATCGCATTTATCGACGTATAGAGCTCATTTAAATTTGGGAAGAGTTCATCTACTGCACGTACATTCAGCTTAAGTTGATCAAAGAATGTGATGAAGACCTGCAAAAGTCACTAACAATGACGCGGTGCCATCGGAAAGCTTGCATTGCGAAAATGTAGGAGAATTTCTGGCAAACACAATAAAAATAGGAAAAATGTTGAATCAGCTTGTACAAGGACTTTTCAAGTCAAATTTAAGTCTTTAGAACGCATTTCTGAACTTGAAAGCAGAAACAGGTGCAAGTTTTAAAAGATGAGATAAAGTTTAAAGGTGACTACCGAACCCTCGTCGCGGTATATAACAAAGGAAATAGATGGCTAGACAACACAGCTTGCAATTGCCAAAAGTGAATGAAATTCGAATTTTTTGAGGTGCACCGAAACAAGTGCGGGGTGTTCAGGCTCCCCTTCCCTGTTCCCCAACGAAAACATTATTGTAGTAAAAGGGTAGAGACAACAGAATGTCCTTAGAGAAGACTTCAAGAGTGTAGGCATGATCCTGTATGATTTTTTTTGGTTTTTTATATCGACAACTACGGCTCTGAAACCCTTCCAGAAAGGACGTAGAATTGAGAGGGTCCCATTCGCAGAGAAGGGAATAGAAATTGAAACGAGGAGAAAGAAGGTAAGAGATAGACTTCTTATGGCTGATACTTAAAGGGACTGGCAGATTTGCTGCTTTGTTAACATACCTCAACGATAACGGCGATATTCTTGAAAACATTTCCTTTGTCATCTTTGACAGTGATTGGGCGCCCCTCGTGAATCCGTTCCAATGCGGCAGGACAGTGTAAACGATATTTGGAAGCGAAACCTTCGACATTTGTACCGTGAACTAAGCGCATTGTCACCTGAAAGCATAGTTCGTACTGGCCTAATCCCTGAAGAAAAACAAAAGAATTGTAGATCACCTTGTATTGATCGAGCAACTTGAAGCACTCCACTTTATAATCTTCATTTGAAATATAATCCCTGCTATACATCTTCTCCAAGCACTCAAGTGCATTGAGTACGGCGAATAATTCGCTCATATTCTCCATCTGTTCTCTTTCGCTGTGATTTTCGTAAAGACGAACTTCGCGGAGTAGAGCGGGATTGGAATCCATTTTTCTGAGCTAAAAATAGACCATCGATCATAAACGGAAAAATATGCGACGGAAAATAACGCACACATTGGGACTCAACAGGCCAAGCTGGAAATGGGAATTTCCACACAGTTGACTTATTGTATGTTTTAATTGGTTATGATTGTGAACACAATCGTCAAGCTTCTTTGTAGAAGCCCACCCGTAAAAGTAAAATAAAAAAATTATGGAAATGATGAGAACAACGGACAACAGTTCAGCTGATTTTCGCGTGACACTTAGGCGTTCTTGCCGCGATTGCACCGAGTACAACTGTTGGTTGTCGAAGGCGTCGCGCGCGACATCTTTTAACCGCTTTGGTCGCCTGGGACACGCGCTTGAATCTTTCACGTGCTGAACCTAAATATTCGTTTTCCAACTTGACTGTTGTCTATTGTAACCAGCTGTTAATCACACGTACTTTAGGTGGGGAAATATAGTTGTGGTTGGGCTTTTGAAGGGGCAATTAAGGTAAGATATTCATTTAACAAAAGTTTCGTCTATGTTAGTTCTTCTGTTTTGATCCATAGCAAGAGGCTGGCCAGTTTGTGAGACTTCTCTCGATTCGATTCATGCCTCGTTGTTTCAGTTCGTATATGCTAGTTTATTAATTCCAAATTCAAATTCCAAATTTGTTGTTAGTTTCAGCCATGAGCAACACGGAGCAGATGGTGGTGCCGGAACAGCAGAGCACAGTACCTGCTTCTGGCTATGTCCCACCATCGATGCAACAGCGGCAACAGCAACGAGCTGGACCCCTTTACGATGTCTCCAAGGTGGTACGAGATTTCTGGCCAGGTCAAATGAGGAAAATCGAGCATATGACTGAGGTTAGTTGGGGTCTGTTCCCCGTTGTGAATTTGTCTTTTCTTTCCTAGTTAATATCTTTATGTATGAACTTCTACTCAATTTCATAGGTGAGTAACTCCCGAGTTTACAAGTCTTCAGTTAATATCACTTAATTACATATATTTGTATACAGAGCCCCTCCTTCAAAAGTACAGAGTGGCTAGCAAAATTTCATGCAACCTTTGATTATTGAATAAGCGTCAACACTTGAAACTGTACGTGGTGCACTAAAATCGTTAAATTATATGTAATCATCCTAAAACACGATTCTTACAGAGCGAAATGCGTGAACATTGTAAACATATGGAGCTGCCGATGGCTAGAGTGAAGAAAGTTATGCGAATAGATGATGATGTCCGATCTCAGGTACTATCGAACGGTCCTTTGCTCAGGCGTTAACTGTCCTTCTGGAACATTCTTTTGCCTAAAATTTAATTTTATGGAGAGTGCCATTCCTTCCCTTCTCCTTCGCCTTTTCTTTTGCCTTTATCAGTTCGTTGTCTCTCTGGGCTGGCTTCCACTATTGCCGCATGAAAACCCATGCAGGTTTTATCAATTAGACCAGGATTTTTCTAATTTTCAGGCTGTGAAATATTCCGCTATTTTCTATAAATAGAACTAATTTAGATGATAAGCTCGGATGCACCGTTGCTTCTGGCTGCTGCATCGGAGATGTTTATTCAGGAAATCACACTTCGTGCTTGGCAGCTTGTGGAGGAAGGGCGGCGTAAAACTCTACAAAAGGTAGGGGTACCTCATGCAGCATTCATGCCTAGCGTCGTGTTTCTTTGTTCTCCCCAGTTGGCAGTATGTATCTTTTTCCATCACAAGTTCGCCGATTCCTCACTGCGATGAGAAGTATAGGGCGACTCTCGAAATCACGTAATTGCCTGGGCGAATGCCTTTTTCGAAGAAAACTAGAGCTAGCTTATTAAAAATGGTCGCAGCATCGTAATCGGGAAACTCGGAACAACTCAGACTCTTTACTACAGTACCGCCATATTGCGTCGATGTAATATGTTTTGTGATGAAATCTTGAGTACATTATATTGCAGTCAGATATTGCTGCTGCGGCAAGTAGATTCGAGCACTTCGATTTCCTGATCGACATCGTTCCTCGTGAGGATTCAAAGAAGCTTCATGTATGTTTCCTGTACTTTGAAGCAATGAATATTCACAGCACAAAAGAGGTTTTCAGGACGATTTGGCCAATAATACCTTGAACGTCACCTCAGAAGGAGTGCTAGGTACACCTGCTCAAGTGCAGTATGTGCTGGCTGGTGATGGAGCTTCTGGCAATGATGTATATCATCTTGAGAACGGACAAGTTCTTCACGCCACTCCGATCGGGCAACCCATCCCAATCGGTAAATCCTTTAATCTGGACTTGTTGTTAGTCATTCTTAGTGAAATTTATTGGGTTCCCTCGTTCAGGTGGTCCTTCTGCTGCGAATATTGACATAAGTCAGTTGCCTCCTGGAATGCAAATTCTACACATACCATCGCAATAGTTGCTGGTGGGTAAAGTTCCCCCTACACGTGTCCGTTGATAGCCGAAGATAGGTAGTTCCCACAAAGTCGAATCTGGGAGAGACAATCGAGTGATGTCCNCCAGCAACATGTGCGACTCTTCAATAAGCATAAACGTGTACATTCGGTCTGTTTCACATAATTCCCTTTTTGGAAACATTGTTTCCGGATTAACTCTGGTCAATGATATTCTACATCCCAGCATGTTCTACACTCCATTTTCATTTGAATTTTGTGTACGGGTCAGTTTCTTTCTATTTTAAAATATTCTGATCCCATTTCTGTTGAAGCTATTTAGTTTGTTCCACAAAGAAATCACTAGCTCGTTATTTGCTCTGATTAGAACAAACTTCTGCCTCTGAGCGTAGATTAGATATGGGTAATACATTACATCTTTCTTGTTTACTCAGCTGTAGATCAATCTATTTTGTGAATTTGCGAAATTTGAGTCCCATAATCTCTGCACAACAGGTATCTGGCTCCTGTTTTCACCCCCAAACGACGCTCCTATCTGACCTAAAAACTTTCTCAAAACCACGTCAAATAGTTAAATTGTGCGGTATCCCGGAATTGAATTCTGGGGACTGAGCGGCGGAAAATTAGGACAGAAGTGACATGGACATATTGTAGTCAAATGATCCCCCTTCCCCTTCCTCAAAATGCGCCACCTACGATGACATCAGCAACAAAGAGATGTAGCATACATGAAGTTTGGAGTAAAGTAGAAGTACTTTTCAGTCTTGAAGTGTGTATCTGATTAAACCATGACTTATTTTGTTTTCAACCTTTGTGTCTCAATAAATATTGAATGTTCTTCCTGTTATGTGATACAAACTGCTTTATTACCGTATATCTTATGTATTTTCTGCATGCAAACTTGATTCCTCTTTATGAAGATATCGTTTTCCTTTGCCACTTATTTTATTGGTTATTACAAACATAACAGATGTTGAAAAGTGAAGCTGAAAAACGTCGCACTGATCGCGAAAAGTTAAAACGCAAATCGGCTGTTGGTAGAAGTGATCAGGACATCGTTGCATGCTTCAGTCACAATCGCGTCGTAGATGCGACCAAGGTCAGCTTTCGAGAGCATTTCACAGTTGATGGGCGCCGTGGAGAGTCTATTTACACCATCGAAACCGATGTAGGTGCTTTTCGACTTTATTTTCGATCGCTTTGTTTTTTTCCTAGCAGTAGCCGCTATTAATGCATTATTAGAGCTAAGGAAAATGGAGCAATTTTTTCTTTCGCGATTCCCTACGGTTCCACATCTCATTGCAGATTGAAACTCCTGGGCTTTCAGTGATTACTGATAAAGTATTGATAAAGGAGTCAGGTTCCAATACCATTTTGATTCCTTTGAAAAACACCTTACATATCCATAATCTTATGAATATGCATCTTGCCTTGTGAAACAGCGTAAGTGATTAACATAATGGGGAAAAACAGCCTTTTGGTCCGGAACTGCAAGTCATCAGGTTCTTGAAGGAATAGAAAACCTAGCTTGGTTAGCAACCTACCTGTACCACCGATTACGTGCCCTACAGCTAAGCTTTTTCTCATTGCCTGCTACCCCTTATCCTATCACTAGGTCTGTACAATTGAGTCCACGTCACAGTTTCTTTGACTGCGAATTACAGGTTTGCGAGCATGTGGTTGAAATTGGGCGAGAAGTATCCAGTATTGACGAAGGGTACGATTATGCTGTTGCTATTGTTGATCGTGAGACAGGTACAACAGCATATCGGCCCGCCCGGCTATACAACTTCCAAGCGACGTATTCTTCAGACGTTCCACAGTTGATTGGAGAGAAGTTCGTTGTTTTTCTAAAGATTTCACTGCTATTTGCTGGTGGTAACACTTAGTTTTCGTTTTCGTCCTCATATAAAGCACATGTGGCTTCATGTCTTTTGAAGTTTAGATTTAGGAGACGGTTCTTTCTTCACTTTGACGAGAACATTTTGAGTTTTGAAGGCTTTTCTGAAAATCGTTTCAAAGGTAGTGCATGTTTCCTGGTTTGTTTCAGAAGAAGCGCTCCTGTGGACTACAGTGCATCGTACGATATCAAGGTTGAAGATTGGGCAAAGAAGCGCATGGATTTGACAGCTGATTTCGGCTCCTCAAAAAAGATGAAGATACAGGAAGCATCGATTCGAAGGCAAATAAACACGGTACGATCGCTCTAGCAGCTTCTCCGAGCCACTAAATCATTCACTTTTTTATCTCAGGAAACGTTGGATGCAATGCGTAAGACGGCTTTCGCTTCAACAAGCGTTTTGGCGGATGCTGAAGATATCAAAAATGAACAGATTAGTATGGTAGTGAAGGTAAGCTTCTGCAGCGTCCAGTAGTACATCATCCTTACACGTCTGTAAACCTTTTAAGGCAGAGTCGTCCGTGCTTCCCCATGCCCAACAAGCCGAGCTACCACGTAATATTTATCCTATTTCAACGTTTGTTAGGGAGGAAGAGGTGGAGCTCTTGACAGCTCCCGCACAAGAATTTCTTTCTTCGTCAAAAAAGGAGCTTTTGGAAAAAGGTAATCAGTTTCATTTTTGTCACCTGAAGCTCTACTCCTTCACTTAGCTACAGAGCAGTTTATTGCTGTGGTGCTGCTGGGTGGCTTAGATCATACTGATTCACTCTTTTTTACGAAATGATTTACTTTCATGTTATATTTCCCTAATTAAGGCTGCCCTGAAGTGGTCGTCAAGATGCTGCCTGGTTCGCTTGATAATGATCCATTAAGAGCAGTTGCGTTCACTTTATTAGGTTGTATGACGTACATGTCTTACGTAAGCTGTTTTTCAACTTTTCCCGACTTATTTCGGCTTTCATCGATTTCTTTTTCAGTTATTCTCTCAGAAATCTATCCTGAAAACGGAATACGATAAAATTCCGTTCCCATCAGAGTTCGTTCAGAAAGTAATGGCAGATTTCGTCAGTGAGTGTTCCATTTCTCATTATCTACCTTATTAGGGTCAAGCTGGTGAGAGATGAAGGGAAGGGGTCTCTCAACGCCATGTTTTTTTCTTTTGCTTACCAATCAAATAATGTTTTCCTCGATGTGTTTGAAAAGAATCGAATAATTTTAGGCGCTCAATGGGATAGGGGACATAATGGTCGCATGGCCGCTCGATTAGCCGTTCTTTCAAATGAAAAGGACAAGCTCATAGCTCATTTGCTCGCACTGGCTCTTACTCTTAGTCAGTTTTTTCTTATAATATTATGGATGTTTAACTCCTTTTAATGAAGTAAAGAATAAGGTGGTGGATTTGTCAATTCAGCTGTTTACATACATTAATGCTTATTGCATTGTAAGGATGTTCCACTTATACTTACAGTAGCGCTCAAAAAAGTTTGGTCAAACGCTTTCACACTTTTTCCTTCACAACTTTCTTCTTAGTATAGCAAATCGCGCGAAATTTTGATATGTTTAACCAAGGCATATTTCACGCTATCGAACACTATTTGATTGTAAAGCAGCCATATCCACATAATTAAAATAAGATGTTTATGCAGCAGCAGATTTAGCTAAAAACAAAGTTAGTGACGAGTGCAGTTATTCGCACCTTATGTGTGTTTTCTTTTTCTCAACTGTGTTCGGCATTAGTGCTCGTACACTTTAGACATGACGAAAAGGAAAGAAATTCCAGAAGGAAGAGCATTCGCATTTTTAGTTGATTTCGAGTTCATGCTCTTTGGAATATCCGGAACATGATCAGATTGCAGGTTTTGCAATGCTGCATTATTTAAATCGTTAGGTCACGTAGATATGAATTTTGTTCATATTATATGTAACATGAAATGTGGCAATTATCAATGAGCGAGTCAGCGTTTGGTTCTCACGGACGGATAGCTTTCGGCAGNGCTGAGCTGCGACCCACTTTCTAATATTAAGGGCATGATAACCTTTTTCGCTGTCCTCTTTATTTGTGCATCATTCTAAATAAGACATCGTAAGATTATGGGATACATTTATGAAATAAGGTGCAAACTATTAAAGTTCTCGTATTCTGTTATGAAAGAGTTTCAGGTTTCGGCTGCTCTATACCTATCACTCCATGGCAAAATGCTTTGAAAAGGTCATCGAAATTCCTTGAGAAGGTATCTCATTTTGATTCTTGCTTTGCTGTTTCAATATAATCGTGAAAGTACACTACGGCGAACATTCATCGATTTCTCTAATGAAGGGTTAGCTTATGCTATCGCCGTTGAAGCTAGGAGGCCGCACTCGCTACAGCCTCTGCCGTTCATGTTAGAATCTTTACGTTTTGAACGTAGGTGTGAAAGAGACTTAATTGAGTTGTCGAGCGTGCAAGGAATGAGTCTCGTCGTGCTGACTGCGACAACATTTGTTGATGCCTTTTTTTTACGTAGTTGGGTAGGCCGTTTGGATGTGTTTCGGTTATGGGATCCAGTGTGGTCTGCATTCATGTAGAATAGTTGTTATTACTCTTTCACCTGGACCCATTACCAGATGACTGACCTCTTGGAGACAAATGTATATGGTTTCACAAGCGCACCCCGGCACACCTAACGAGGTCGGGATTTCCTCATTCATGTAGATGAGCTTGGAACCACCCTAGGACCGGGTGCGCTTCGTTGCGCGTGTCCGTAAAACTAGGTCACGCCGCAGCCGTCGCACGCGGCGAGTCGGCCCGCGATATTTGACA